ATTTAATTTAATATATAATTTAATCAGTGTATAAATATTTATTATTATTTCAGTTAGAATGATTGGAGCACATGTAAACTACACAATACATGGACATTTTTTTCATGGCAGATCTTCCACTTTTTCACTTCCTGACCTCCAGCTGAACTTTGTGCTGTCCTGGTGCTGCATCATGATGTCACATGAAACCCTCCTGTTCCAAGGTGTTTAGATGGACTATGATGCAAAATCACATTTATTTTGATATCTAAAGCATTTTCATAACAACTGAAAAGGTAACAGAGTAACTTGGTTGTGGTATAAAATTGAACCATGTGCCTGCAAGATACAAAATACCCCCCCGCCCCCAATATAAAATACAGCAAACTGAAAAGATTCAGGTGAGCTGCATGACTTTAGTGAACCAGCTCTGTGACTGATGGATCCTGCTGGAAGCTCAAGAAGAGGAGAGCTGGGAGAGGAAGAGAGAAAGGGGTGGGCAATACATCCATAAAGCATTGGTATTGGTTGCCTCTGTGTGAGAGGGCGGGGCTTGCTCTAACCGGAGGAGGTGGGGCTCCAGCTGTCCCATTTTCTCAGCAGAAGTYCAGCAGAGCAGCCTTGCGTCCAGCGCCTGAACGGTTGCACTCTTTGAGGTCAGGAGATGCGTGTCAGGCGCGTCGTGAAGAGCCTCTGGGTTGGTGTCCTCTGCTGCTCTCTGAACAATGGAGGACGAAACTGAGAGAGTGGATTGGCTTATTTTACTACCAGTAAGAGCACGTTGTCGTCAGGCGCCTCTGCGCCGTGTCTGGATCCATCAGATCCTTCAGAGGAGTTCTGAGTTTCAGGAGTTTCACCACTACAAGAGCTGCGTGCAGCTCAGTTTGATGAGCTGCTGACCCACATCTGCCAGCACACCGACTACAGGTGCTCGCTTTCAGCTGAAGAGCTGCTGTCCGTCTGTCTCAGGTCAGTGGACATCCTTCAGGACACCGTCCTGTAGGAAAATGTGTCACTACGTCACATAGCAGAGTCTCTCTGATTGGTTGATGCTCTGCATCGAGCTGCAAAAGTTCAGATTTTCCAACTCCAGCGTCTGCAGCACCTCCCGACCCCCGAACCTGCWGGAGCAGAGTGAGCTGACACCGACCCACAGACCGGTTCTACAGCCGGAGTGGGGTGCACCGCTTTGGGCTGAACTCTGCCCGGCCGTGTCGGGGCTTCTTCTTCACGGCTCTGCCTGCTGTTAGTACCGTGGTCACAGGAGAAGAGGACGGAGTGAACACAGACCCCAACCTTCTGGATTAAGGACCTGCTTCTCCCCCCACAGAACCTTTCCTCCTGGTTCTGAGTGASTTCTGACCAGTTTTCAGCCCGAGGACTCAAACAGGAGGGAGGGACCTGCAGCCAGCTCAGGGTGAGGAAGATGAAGGTTTCTGTGAGCAGAGGTCAAACTGATCTCACTTTAACACAAGGTGTGTGTGTGTGTGTGTGTGTGTGTGTGTGTGTGTGTACATGTGTTTCTACCTGATGGGGAACATCATTTTCCCTGTACACACAGCCTGGTGAGCACCTGCTGTTCCTTATGGGGATAAAAGCCCGGTCCTCACTGTTGGTGGGTTAAGTTTAGAACTAAGGTGTTAATTGAGTCTAGGTTAGGTTTAGAGTCAAGTGTTAGGGTAACCCTAACCCTAACCCTAACATGTGAGGTGAGGTTTAGTGTCAGGGCTCAAGGCTAAGTTACCAGTAAATGAAAGGAAGTCAATGCAAGGTCCCCATAAGGATAGAAGAACAAACATGTGTGTGTCACATACAATGTTTCATATCGTCAAGCTTTTACATTATTTATGTGAATATTTGTATGTTTTCAGGTAAGATGAAGCCATGTTTTAACTGTTATTTAGTTTGGACAACATCCTGATGGGTTGACCCAGTTCTCAGGTGTTTTACCTGTGGAGGAACATCTGCAGAAATAACTCTGGATGTGATCTGGCATTATTTAAATTAAAAAGACTAGTCTGTGCCGTGAAATGTTGGAGGGGGCTGGTGTTGTTGGCGGGGGGGAATGATAGGGGAAACAGTGATTTTTAAGGGCTTATAAAGTTTTCCTCCCCAGCCACTGTAGTGCTGCTCAGTCATGAAAACTAACAGAAAACCCACTGAAATTTTATTAAAAGACATTTAAAACGTAGCGATGCTACAGTTACTATAAAAAGACACCATGACTTTTTCCCACTGTGGTGTCCCTTGAAGCTGGTAATCTTAGTACAATTCAGATTTAGTTGAAGTGTTACTGATAGAGGGATGTGTGGGTTTCCCTTTTTGGATCTGTTGCCTCCATGGTCCCACATGGTCTCAGGAAACAGTTTGTTCTGTTTATATATTTTTCTGTCCACAATGTTGAAATACCTGTGTTGAGCCATAAGTGTTAGGGTTTGATCAGGCTTTCTAAAAACAAAGAAACAAAAAGGCTTCAATTTGTCCATTTAGAGATGTGTGGGATCATATYCAAAGAGCAGAGAAAATCTCCAAAGTATGAGGATGGTCTCTGGTCCTGACTGGACCAGTATTGGTTCTTTAACACTTTGTRTGTCTTGTACAGATGTTTTAAAGGCCTGTCTCAGTACAGATGTTTTAAAGGCTTGTCTCAGTCTCCACTTCTTTCCCTGCTGTGGTATAACTCTATATTACAGGTGAGCTGTCTTACCTGCAGGCTGGAGACAGGGACTTTACAGGTTTATCTATATGTTAATTCAGTTCATTTATTTTATTTATATATTAAAAATGTTTGTGTGTGTGTGTGTGTGTGTGTGTGTGTGTGT